CATTTTCTTGATCTGTTCGCCAATGTACACCTAAATATAGCCGACTCATATAATTTTCCATTTCAGCTTGTGTAAACGATGAATATTTTCGTGTTCTTGCTGGTCGTGGTTTTCTTGTATTTGAATCGATTGTTTTTCCGTTGTATTCATCCGATTGGAACTGAAATGAGATAGAATCTGTTTTGTAGAAGAGTCGAAGTGTTTCAAAACAAGCTGATCCAAATGTCGAATGACCTGAAACATAGGCCGGAAATGGTGGAGTAAAGTCTATGTCGGCACCATCGCCCTGTGATCCTAAAGGTAACCAGTTTGGATCAGCACGAGTATTACCAGTAGCTCGACGAATGGCGACAATTGGACGCCAAAATCGATAAAAATATTTTGCATCCCATGCAGCAAAACCAGCATCACCTATTGCCATGTTAACTAGTGCAAATAAACGTGCGTTTTGTTCTAAAGAATTATTCTGTTGCATAGCTATGACTCGAACCACTTGATTGTAGAGACGTGGTGGAACGCCTAGTTTCGGTACCCCATCATAACCCCAAGCAATACCAATATGTGTCTGATCCGCTGTACGAACTTTACTTGTTTTTGATCCCAATGATTTGATTTCATTGAATTCCCTTAGATAATTTGTTGAATTTAAATATGCAAGACGCGATTGGAGTGTATCACCGACAATATTCGATGAGCGATACTGTGAACTAGAAGTTAATAAAAATGGTTTCACATTGCCCCAATGAACACCTAAAAAACCTTGGTGCGGATGTGTTGGATCAACTTGATGATAGCCTAATGCAAGTGGAGGTATATATGTTTGATTTGTCTGACTACCATCGTTGGATCGATTTTTCATAATACTATCAGCAATCAATCGACCAATAAAAATACCTATATTGATGGTACTTTGCTTGATGATGTTACTCGAAATCCATCTCAAATAGGCATTACGAACTGCAACAAATATCTTCTGCTGTTTAGGATATAAGTGAGACAATGTCTGAAACGCAGCTTCGGCAATAGCTGCATCGATCGCAGGTCTTACAGGAACATTATTTATCACAGGCATATTGCTATATTTGAATATAGGTTTATAAACTCGATTGAATGCAATCATTGAATCGTGCATAGCACCATGAACAATCGCAAAGGCACGTGCTGTAGCTCCTGGACCATATTGATCGGGAGTAGAAACTAGTAAAGGATCATAATCATTACCACACGCTTGTAACATGACCAGATTCCAAAAAAGTATTGGATCCATTGCACTCGTTCGTATTTGAGTCATCAGCATGTTAATCTGTTGTTGTACAAAAATATAACTACTCTGAATTTGATTACTCTCAATCATTAGTACCATTGTCAATAGGAATATGATCGATTTCATATGAAGATTTGCACAAACCATATTGGATTGTCTATTGAAAGATACGATTAGAACCACTTATATTCGAGATTTAAATGACTGCCGTACAAAGACGTTAAATGTTAGTCAAATAGAACCATACCTGTGAAGGTGAAAATATTTGACAAGATGTACGAGCACGAACAGAACAAAGAAAAAGCAAAACATTATGAAAGAAAATACTCACTATTCGAATGCGACATTGTCCTTAATGTTGAGTTTGGGTCGTGAGCCAAAGTATATCAAAATATCATATCTGATCTTACGATACTATCTAAAGACGTCGATACGCAGTACAAGAGACAAAATTGATTTCAAAATAAACTTATTTTTTTGCAAATTCACTTTCGCCAAATTTGGCTGCCTCGTCTTAGATTTGTTATTGAACTAAACACGCTGCTCCAAAACTACAATGTTTACATTTTTCAGCATGTAGATCTTGGAATTTTGTTAATATGCTAGCAATTATTAGATGATTGATACATAACAAGGATTTTTCTAGCATTGCTTCATCAAGTTTCGACAGCATAATTGAATTGATTTTTCAGTGTTGGTTATGATAATGTTCTAATAATAAAAAAAAACAACGTCAAGATGGTTTTAGTTGTGATCGATGATTGAGAAATACAATTTTCTATTTTGATAAGACAAGTTCAAGGATTTGTCGAAGAGTTTCTTTTAAAAGAAGGCACAACTGAAAATTGCAACATTTTGTGTTGAGACAATATCGAGAATCTTCCATGACAAGTTTCATTTAATAGCCATTACATTGGCGTAGCTGCTAAGAAATAATTGCATATGTGTAGTTGGCAGATAAAATTTCTTCTTTTGGTTTTTTATTGATCATACGGGAGTTTACTGATTCTGTCGGCCATTAGTTGTTACCATGACATCAGAACAATTCTGATCTAAATAATATCTTTTATTTTACTTTTTTGTCGCCTTCATTTTCTCTTCTATACGGTAGAACAATACTAAATTTAGTTTGGAATTTTTCTGTTTTATGAAGAAGCGATACTTCATGTTCCTTTGGAAAACACTAATACATCGACAGTTTTAACCTCTTTTAAGATAATATCAATCTTCAAAATGAACTATTCTCATTAAAGATAAATCTCTTCAATCAGATTATGCGAAAAATACATCAATTCAATATATTCACAATCTGTATGCTTTTATAGAAAAGTTCTAATAACACAAGAAAATCGGATGAATATCGACAGGTGACATAATTTTTAGTTGCATTTTCGGAACGATTTGACTTGTTTGGTAATAATAAACGTTGGTTATATAAATAATCTGTCTTGCAAAGGATAATCATAGAGAGATGAAGCTTTTATTTACCATAGAAGATAATAGTGTAAATAAAAGAACAAGGTATAAATTTTAAAGTGATTGATAATATTTTTGTCGAAGTGTAATTATTACAAAACTCCAAAAATATCATTGAACCAACTGCATGACAATAGAACTTTCTGTAAGTGTTATTTCCGTTCATCTCAAATGTCATGTCATAATTTACCTGGTTTATTTCCATTTTACATAGCATTCTCCTAAGTTTCTCGAAAAGAGAGCTGTGAAGTCTTCGACTCTAATGTTACATTTATATTTACGGCTGATATAGAGGAAAGTATTTTAAAACGAACTTCTCTCAAACAGTTGAAGAGATTTTGATAATACTAACTTACTTACTGCACATAGTCACCACGTCGAAAATATCCAATTTCGAGTGATGAGTTCATGTTGGTAGTTGGTTGAAGAATTCGCTCTTTTATGTCAAACTCACTCATCAACTTAGAATAAATTTTTGAGAGACTTGCCATCGTTAAGAAGGCTTTCCAGCTTTATTGTTATGCTATCGCTACGGTAGATTTTTCTAAATGTGTATTAAGTCTTACCTAATACCGATTAAGATAATCTCTTGAATAATAAACATGGTCAAGTTTAGTTCTCTGTTCTTCTGTACAATGAAACTATATGACAAATGGTATAAAAAAGTGAGAAACTACGAAGGCACAAAATCATTTACTGCTTAGTTTTATTTCGGTTTTGGATATTGTGAGAAAAATTTGTCTGAAATCTTTATATAAATTAGGAATCGATTTCAAATCATGTTGTATGTGTTATCGACAACCTAATTGTGTTCCTAACTTAGCCCCTAAACATCTAGAACTGTTAGCGTACTCTATTTTAATATTTTTACATTTAGTTTTGAATTTTCAGTGAGTACCTATGAGTATAGTACAACAGTTTTGATTTTCTGTCAGATAGCATGTGATTGTTCGCGAATTTTCCTAAATATTTTGAAATTAGTTTTGTCTGTTTTTTTTTTCGAACACATCTTATAAAAGAAGATTTATTTCATCAGTGTTTAAATGTGGCATTATATGAACAAAATACAATGGCAAAAAGTGCATTTGTGGTCGCAAAAGTAAAGCTTTGAATACAAAACCATGTAGAACACCGACAAGTACAATTGAAGTTTAGTAAATTGCGCCTTTATGGCTAATGAAAATCGACCGGTTTTGTAACCGATCGAAAATCCATCCTTGCAGAAAAGTGGGATCTCCAAATTTCTCAGTGTCTTTATGAGTGCACGGAACCGCACTGTGTCAAATGCTGTTTGGAAGTTGATAAAGATAGCCAGAGCAGACCTATTAAATGACGTGGCTGGCAAGCTCAAGCCGTCAACAATGGAAAAAAAGAAGTATTTTGAAGCCTTCTATGTCACATGAAACTTGAGTGTTCGTCAGTTTATTTCCTATCGACAGTGCATTAGACTTCGATTCTTTCCAAAAATATACTTTTAAATCATTTGGATAGATCATGTAGCAGAAAATTGGTCTAAAACTATCTTTGGATATTCTTCCTGTTTAAACAAGCCAACATCCTTCGTCATCCGAATCTGCTCAAAAAAGTCTCCTTTCTCTATAGAGTTATTGAAAAGAATAATAATTATGCTGAAAAACTCAGAGTTTGTGGATATGGATCGTGAGTGTGAAAAGATATTCCCCATACTCGCACTTGAAATTTAGTTTTGTGTTAATCATTGCCATCATTTATGTTTTACAAATTTTCCACTTGAATTTAAAATGTGGTTTTTTTAAAAATATTTTGCATTCTTTCGTAAAACTTTGAAGTTCGTGTCGATACCTACATCAATCATCAATGTCCATCTTGGTAATAATGTATGCCTTTCCATCTGTAGAACTCATGTCAATATCATTGCTGGCTTTGATTTTTTACTGCGCCTGTTTAGTCCTTTGCCAAGTATTTCCAATTTCTACTCTGATGGAAGTTAAACTCATGATAAATATTTACTGTAGTATACTTTCTTAATCCTATTTGCAAATCTTGATGATTCGTCAAAATAGGTTTAAAAAAAATGTAGCACTAAACAGAATTACACGATTTTTTCGACGAAAGTAGCTTCTTGATTATTTATTTTAGACATTTTGAGATTGATCTCTTCGATGTTGAACAAAATGAACAAAAAATCGATTTAAAGATTGTTATACGTTATACAATTGTCAAATATCAATGCGAAATCCTAAATTCAGCATAGCTCACTGTTATTTTGAATGATCGCATTCTAAAACGCATATGTCATGGGTTCATCAGCAATATTTCCAGCATTAGACTTATGATTTGTATATTTAAGATCGCCATTCTCTTCGTGGCCATTTGCTTTGTATTTCTCACGCCGATGAATACATACTCGATGGATTAAATGAAAAATTGGTTCTAGTATTAACTTGTACAGTATGAAAACCAGACCAAATAGTTCCAAACAAACAATTGTAAATAGGATAGTACGAAATATAATCTCTGCTTGTTTAGCTATTGGTTGTTGTACATTTTTGACATAGAAGGGTGTTTCACTTATCACAATCGTTAATATTGTTTCTGTTGATGTTGATCGAATGTATTGATCTTGTGAAACAAATAAACTATCTGTATTAGTTCCAAATGTAAGAATGTAGATACCAGTAAAGTTGCCCTCTTCACCTTCCATTGGTAATGTTTCATTAATAACTTTTGTTAGTGATAAAGCTACAGGTAATGCTCGTGCTAGAAGAGATCCCTTTTTTGAAAAAGCTTGAAAAGCATGCAACTCTTTTAAATGATATAACTCTTCTTCATGTGAGTGGCCACTTAGACCAATGCGTAAAGCACCAATAGTCTGAATACCAGCTAGAGTAATTTCTACAGATGTGAGTTGAAAAGGCAGTGGAATCGATAAGGATAGAATTGAATGAGCATTGCCACAAGTTGACCAACGAATGGTCGACCAAGTAATACCAAATAGAGCTCTAAGTGATATGATATCACAATTAATAAGTGTATTGATCAAATCAACATTAAGCATTAAACTTTGTTCATTTAACAAATCAAACATTTCTTTTTCAGTTTCTGAAGGTGGTATAGCTAATGATTGAAGATTTGCTTGGAATTTAGCATTACGAATTGATGGGTCGCAAGCAAAATGGGAGTCAGATGATGTTTCAATTGGATACTGTTTGTAATAAGAATCGCTAAATGCATAGGCAAAACTAACCATAACTACTAGCGCAAATGAAGCTAAACCACCCACCCATAATTTACCTTCATGAATTAGATCTGTTTTTCGAAACACCCATTTTATTCCTTTTCTTACTTGAGTACTTGTTCGGTTTGCGGTGCAACAATGTAGTATTCCAACTATTATCAATATGAAAATACCTATACCGGCTACGATCAATGTCCAAAATAAAGGTGATACGACTAGACAATGCCCTTTTCCTATTTGGAACATATTGTGAATTAGGATCTCTTCAAATATAGTACTTTCTGGTGATTCTGGGTAGGCAATTATTTGTGTAACGGTTTCCAATACAGAATGAGATGTTTCATCCACTGCGCCAAGAGAACAAAATGATTCATTCGCACATGAGATGCATTTAATTGTAGAATTGCCAGGATTTTTCGTGCCAGTTGGACAAAGAATACAATCATTCATACCATATTGGTCTTTATACATACCGGGTAGACATGGTTTTGGGGATGTCATAAATGATACTGATCCTGTTGCTGGTATTGATGGATAGAAACCTGGTGCTGTGGGGTTGAATATTAGCAAATTACCGATATCATCCATTAAAGTTAATGATTTGGGTGATGAAATGGCATTTAAAAATATGGAACGAAAACTTGTTGGCAATAATTGATGATAATTAGGAAAAACTGATAGTGGAGTACTGTTAGAGTTGTAAATACTCGATACCATATCATAGAAATGAAGCTGAGATGATTGCCACTGATATGTCAACGAATAAGTATTAACAAGTATTGCAGCCACGTTTCCACCATCTAGCCAAGCTACGCTTCGTCCATTTCCCAACGATCGACCGTTTGTATGTCTACTGACATTAAATAATTGTTTTGGATTGCTAATATTTACCGAAAGTAAGAAAACTCGATTGACGAATTGCATACCAACTAGAACATCACCACGGCTATTAGTACTAATTGACATGCTATATTTTGCTGAATAGATATCTGCATCCTCATTGGTAAGTAAGTCTTGCCATGTACCTGGAGTAGCTAATGGTATATGTTGATCAACGACAAATGGACGGCGATTTGATGAATTGAAATTTAGAAGATAAATAATCGGACTATATTTAACTCTTTCCGTTGGATTATTTTGAATGAAGCCGGCAATAATACCAAAGTTATCACTGATTTCAACAGCATGAGGTATAAATGAAATATTCGGCCATGTTAAACTGCTATTCCATGATTCCAAAATTGAAACATTCTGGGAATCGAATATAAAGACAAATGTAGTAGAGAATCCATAGGCAAGCAGGCCTTTTGGTTCAACTCCAATGATATAGTATTCTTGATGTTCAGAATTGTTTACATATTGGATCGAGTAAGAAAAACTCGTAGCACAAGAGTTCGACGAATTCGAAAGAGTATTCGTTAGATTGTATTGTGCTACGCCAATAAATGCTGGGTTGCTGCTATTGACCAATTCGCCAGCAAAAAAGAATTGTGTTTGATTTTGATTTGGGTTTTTACCAACAGCAACACAATAAACAAAATTTTCTTGGATATTCGGATAGCTAATAGAACATTGAGATGAATTTTGTGTGTTATTGTAAGGGGCAAATTGAATAAAAAAACTCGGTGGATCTCTAGCATTGTTAGCTTGTACGAGGAGAATCTCATTCATAGCTATTTTTACACCATAGGCATCGTAATTAGTTCGATCAGGAGCAACGACACTATTGAGATGATGAATATGCAATAGTAATAAAAAGCCGATGATGGTTTGGTGAATATAATTCATATTCTTGTTCATTGAAACAATCTCTCAAGCTCTGGAATTCATGAAATATAGTGTTGATATCTGAAAGATGTGGAGATAAACAATAATTCACGATTCTCAAGTGTCTAGTAGTATATAACGTTAGTCAGCTATTAATTTACTCTTTTCTAAGTTGAAAGGTGATGAAGTATGATACTAATGAATGTACAAATGAAACTATAATAAAGATACTTTTGATGAGAATCAAGTAGCGCAAGAAGATAAACTAAATTTCTTAAATTTAACCATACAAAATCAATTCTAAATAAAACCGTCCACGAAATTCAGAGATCTAAAGTACAAATATCTAAAGTGGAACTGATATAGAAACTCTAGAAAAAAAAGGAAAAGTTCAACAGAAAATCTAGAAGCTCAATACCAGAATGACATTTGTTCTTGAACATCGCCTATGAAATCGAATCGACACGATTCGGATCAAATGAAGAACTCCAGTACGTCACGAGTATTTATACATAATGTATCTTTGTCATGATCCTTGAAGACTAATAAAACTAAATGTGCTAGTTATTTGATGTTGCTACTCTATCGTGTTATATTGAATTTGTATGGGCAATTATGCACATATATGCAACTAGGTTCTGTGTTAAATATTGTACGAACGTCTTCGAATGATCGAGCTCAAACTTTTTCCTACTACCAACAAGTCACAAAGGCGCTACTTTTCCACCTTTCATGGATGACGTAGCATACTTTTCCTTTATCTTCTAAATCCTGTATCCTTGATCCTCCCGTCCAGATTAATGATAATTTTACCCCATCCAAAAGATAGTTATTCTTGCATGGGTACATTAAACCGGCAATTTCTATTCGTTTTACTAATCATTTTATTCTTGGAGAACGAAACAGTAAGTTGAAGTGGTCTTCGTATTACGTTCCAATCACTATAATGAGAAAATCGACAGTATCGGCAAATTACTTATTCCTGCATGAGAGTAACAAGAAGCTATAATGTCAAATTGATCAATTTTACATTCAACAGATGACAGATGTGTAACAAATATATGATCGAACATCCCCATTGACTAACAGTGACAATGACACAAAGAAATGCCATATTTTTGATTGACCCACAAATGTCTTTTTGTGATCGACTAGACTGACAATGATAACTTGCAAATATGATGTGCTCCGCTATTTTTGGAGTAACCTATGAATGTAACACGCAATGAAAGTGCACCAATTACTAGAGAGTTTTAGAAAAAATAAGCCAACGAGAAAATAAACACTGCATCACTTCCCAAAGAAGTTACATATTGGCAGTCTTTTGTAAAATTACTCGTTAGCTAGGACGGCACATGTACTCTACTGTTTCTTTAGACAAATAAAGTGACAGAAATAAAATATTAACTTAAATACAAGTAAATATTATATGATTTTTTTTTTCGAATTACTTAATAAGTATTCAAGTTAGTATAACAACCATTAGTATGAGCTTAAATTCATAATAGGGTCTATATTAGATACTTGATTTTATTAGGTGAACTCAAGTCGACAAGTGATGCGATAATACAAGATATATATATATACAGACTTCGCAAAAAATTCTGCTACACCAAAGAATGACTGTTAAAAAATTTTATTTACCATTCGAAATAAACTTTATTACCAAATAGATATATCCATTGGTTAAGCTCTCATTTTATACTGTATCAACACAAAACTTCTAATATCAATACAATACAAAAGCTTAATCAGTAACGACAGTGAATATATATATATAACGTTTAATTCGAATCGACCGTTAAATGGTGGAGAGCTATTCTTGAGTGTCTCAGAATTTTTTGCGAGGATTGTACACATTCTCGCTCGATTAAATATTCAGGTGAATGAGAAATACCTTTGCCATTGTAATATATAGTGTGTTGTGCACACAACAAATTGCATACATCAATGGTAAATGTATTTGTCATTCATGTGAATGATTAATCGAGCAAACAAACGTATATATATATATTTTGTGTTTTCTGTTTCTTTTATTACGTTTTACTTAATAATAACGTCGTATTGTTTTGAGAATGGTAACCGCGTTGCCGAAAACTTTGACTTGTTGAAATAATGAATAAAAGAAAAATCAAATAAAAAGCTACTGTTATTGCTGTATATTTCATTAGAAAAATATTATCCATCAACAAACAAAATTATTTATAATAAGTGATGCATGGACTTTTAACTTAGTGTTTCATGTGTACTCGACTGATAAACGTTTTTGTTTCTTAGATATAGATTTCAGTGCAGTTGTATCTCATCTACTCCAAATCTATATTGAAGCTAACATTAAGATTTTGACCAAAACTAATTTCCTTGCCATTATATATATGTATATCAAATTAAATACGTTCGATGATACACTAATGACTTAGAAATTTGTTCCAGCGTTTGATCCAGTCAACTTAATTCTGTGTAGTATTTCTTATAGTCTATAAGACTTCTAATAACTCTTTTACAAAGAAGTGTTACACAATTAGTACGTAAAAAGAATAAAAAAACAACGAATTCGCTTAAATTTTTGTTGATGACAGTATTTTTATTCAATAAAATATGATTATCAGGTCCTTTTCTTTCATCAACAACACAATTATCATCATTATCCTCTATCTTGTCGACCTCTAATTCTATTTCTAGTGAAAGCGGGTGTGAGTACAGATTATGATTTTATCCACACCCACATCCATCCTCTGTTTTTTGTGAAATTCACGTATATTTTCAAGGAAAAGTAGTGAGTATAAGTTTTAAGTCAAAGTTTTACGGTTCTCACCAATCCCCTCCATCCATTACAGAATTTAGCAATCGAGCACAAATGACATCAGATTCTTTTCCCAGAGTTCGTTAGCGACAGAAAAATATGCTAAATAATAACACGTGTCTGAAGATGCTAGAATATTCCAAAGGGTTAGTAGAAACTTCAATGGGTAGAATATGTTTGTGAATGTTCTAAATAAAGCTTTTTTTAAATTTTTTCGTAGATAAAAATGTATACTTAAGATATCAATGATGATGGGTAATGATGCATTGATTTGGTACAGTTGTTATATAATTAACATAAAAAAAAAACGTGAATAGATCAAATTATAACTTTAAAAAATAATTAATATCAGTGCTTATGAGTTAATCGAGATATATATATAACAATGACAGTGTTGTCTAAAGAAATACAAAATACAAAGAAAAAAAACAACGAGCGAATAGTAATAATACAAGCCAAAAATAAGGCACCCGTAAGAGAAAAATAAAAACTTTCTATTCTAAACCCAGAAACAAATGAGACAGATCCTTACACTGATGATCGATTGTCTTGGAAAACAACGTGAGGCTACCAGAAATTTTTCACTTTACTTAGTTTGTATGAGTATAATGAGATCAAAGAACATATGCAAGGTCCACATTTCAACTCCAAAGAAGCTACGCTAATATGCTTTTTCATATAGTCTCCTACTTTTCTTATGTTTTTCTTGATATATTGTGCGCCAGCGTCTGTGATTGAATAGCAAAAGAACTGTTGTAATTATTACCCATTTTTTCGTTTATTTTTCTATAAATTATGTTTATATAAAGAAATAATTATTTTCTCATCCTTTTTTCTTTGGATTTTTCTCGTTCGAAGAAGTTGTCTGATACGATTGCTTGTATAAAGTAAATCGTGATTTTATTTATAGGTTTCAATGTGGGTGAGTGTGAGCTGAGCATGGATGCAGATGTGATTCTTCAGTTCATCCACATTTACATTCAAAAAAGGAAAAAATCAAAAAGATATACCCATATGGATAGCTGTTGTAACGTAGATGGAGTCTCTTAATAAGCTCTTTGGAGCTAACTGGGAATCTTGAGAAATTTTGCAGAATCGAGTATATCCTATAGAATACAAGGAAGTTCGATGCAGTCCTCGGGGATTCTTGAAACATAACAGATTCATAAGCTTGAGAATTCCATTATTCACTCTTTGATGTTTATTCTATGAATAATGTATAAATATTGAGACTAACTATATTGGACATATGAAAGTTAACGTTGTCATAATGCTTCAAAGTAGAAACAGAAATATAATTGATGATTAGAGGTATGTCGATTATCTTATCTGTGTATAACTCTATTACTTCTTTAGTCATTTATTACTTTTTTGATAGCTATTAATTATTACCGACGATGAGTAATAAAACGTATTTCCCTATTATTTCATTATCGTTCTTGCTATAAATACTTCCAAAAATTATAATTGCTGACTATTAATAAGCAACAACAATATTATTTATTACTTATTACTAGTGAAAAAGTATGTGCAGAAAAGAACATGTCATGCCCGCAGTAAGATTTGATTTGAGACTTAGTCGTATTTTGTATTTCTATTAGAACAGATTTGTTATTTTTTTGGTCAACGTTTCCCAAACATGTCATACAGCGGACTATATGACAACAGGATAGCTTTGTGAAAAAGGATGCAATTCCTTTCTAAGGCTCGGATTTTGAATAACATATGACACAGGTAACCGTAGAGTTAGAGAACTTGTCGAAGCTTAATTTTCGATCGTGAACGTTCTAGTGACGAAAGATCAAGAAAAAAAAACCTTACCAGCGAAGTCACTCTGAGGCTGAAATGTAGCACTCATATGTGCTCATTAGTCTCATTTTACCACTACAAAGTACGTAACGTGAAAAACTTGTAGCAGCCAATAGTGACTCTCCAAGGATTAGCGACCCCAAAAAATTCTATCTGTTATTTATTTCTGAATTTCGAATAGCAGGTTTTTTCTTTTTTATTGACGCTCTACTTTTTTGTTTCGTCTTGATACTATTCACTTGTTGCTTTCTTGTTTTCGTCTTCTTTTTGCTTAATTGAATGTAGTTATTATTCTAAACATTGGTTAAAGTGGCAAATAATTGTGTTGTACATATCCATTATTTTTGAAAGATATGTCAAAGCCCTTTTATGTATCTTGATAAGCTCACACACATTGATGTTGATTATT